CGGGGAAGCGGGGCCTGGCGGGACAAGGCCGTGAGGCCGAGGGAGGGGCCGAGTTTGTGAATACAAAGCTGTGTTTAATTGGGGTTTTAAGCCGGGCCTACCGCAGTGTTTCTTTCGAAGTGTTAAATTACCCATAGGATCAGAATAGGCTCTAAAGTGGTGTTTAATCGAACTGGGGTTCCGTTTCACATGGTTTCACCATAATACGAATTTTAGGACTTTTTTAGGCGATGCTCAAGGTTTCAATCTAAATGTGTGGGTTCGTGTTATTACTGCTGAGCTGAGTGTCATGTGTAAGTTGCCTTCCTCTTTATTTTTTTTCTCCTAAACAGGACAGTGTTAGCTATCACAATATCCTCGTTATGCAGATCATCCCACCAAGGTCAGTGATCCTCCTTGGATAGTTTCTGCTCACTGAAAATATTCACTCTCTAATTATCTCGGTCCTTTAATAGGAGTCAGGAGCTTTTTTATTTCCACACTGACATCCCATCAGTGTTCTCACTGAAGAGCCAGTCCAGACCTGTGGCACAGCTGCCTCCTGTTCCCAGTGTCACCCAGCTTGCTGGGATAGCTGGGCTCTAGCAAAGAATCTGCCCATCATCTTTGTTTCATCATGAGATCATCAAATGCTCCATGTAATCAAACCCTTCATTGTTATGTCAGCTCTATATCCAGCTCTCAGCCTTCAAAATCTGGTAGCTTTCTTTACTTGGACTCTTAGATCTCAAAAGTACACTTGGATTTTCTTGAGTTTTCATCTCAGAATGCCTCTAAAACTGACTGGAGCCGTGCAGTCCTGCCCATTGTGGCAGTAACATCTGTTATATCAGAGAAAGGCAGTGTAACTGCTTCCCATGCTGAATTTTCTGCCTGTTTTTCCAGTTGTTGCAAAGTGGCTCTTAGCAAAGTGGAAGTATTTTCAAGTGAACAACCTTCAAACTGAGTAGCCCCATGTAATACATCTTCAGGAGCTTTGTGTTTCCTCCAGAGACAGGTGATAGCTCCTTCTTTGAGTATCTGATAACTTGATACTTCTGAGAGTGTTGAGTTTCTCTTTTCCTTTCAGACCCAAGTTTCCAGTCTGTTTCTGTTTGGTTTCTGCTTTCTCCAGTTTGCTAATAACAGTGTCCTCCTTGTAGTGTTTGTAGCATTGATTTGCAGAGCTGGTTTTGAAAAACATTCTCATGAAAAGAATGTTGAAACTTCATCTCAGACTGTGACTCCTCACTTTAGCCACAGACTTGCACTTGAGAATATTGCAAGTGTTTTCAAAATACTGTAAGTGCTTTAGGCCAGGCATAGCAATTGTTCTGCCATCCCCTGCCAGCTGCTTTAGGTTTGTTTCTGTAACAAGAGCAAAACAATGCTATCTAAACCTCCTCCAGTTTTTTGTCCCCTTAACTCTTGGGTGCTGCTTCTGAGTTTCCCTTCTTCCCCAAGGGAGAAAAGGGTGAGGGGTTTGGTTCCACCCTGTCAGGAACTGCCTTTGACCAGACCCTTTGGTGATCTGAGCAGAACTGAGACAGTGAAAAGCAAAACTACAAAATCCTGCTTTAAACTTTCTCTTTTTTCCTAGTTCATCTCAGGGAACTGGCCTGATTTGGACACAAGTGTCAGCCCCAAAACAAAGAGGGGATGCACTGACTGCAGCTCCAGTTTAGATTATTTAAGGCAAAACTGGATCTTCTTACAAGAAATCTTACTAAACCAAATCCATCCAAACTTCAAACCCAGACAAAACAGTAGATCTGTTTGTTGATCTGTGTATCAGAAGGTGCAGATTTAAACTGTAGGATGATTTCAGTGATGGGCAGAATTGTTGTCCCCTCACTGTAAAATAGTAGGTCATCCCAAGTTGAGATGGCAACTTTCATTTCCCTCCTTCAAGCAGCAAATCTTATCTGAGCGCAGAATTTGTTCAACTTCCTAATCCTGCAAAGAACGATTCCAGTTTAAAAACAAAAGGGTGGCAGTAGATTTGTAGATTTCTGCTTGCTGGGTGAGTTCAGCAGCCCAGTCAGGAGATGGTGGGTGCTGTGGTGATGCCTCCAGGGAGCAGCAGCAGCTCCTGTCCTTCCCTCAGCATTCAGTGCTTCAGAGCACAACATCACACTTCCAGCAGTTCAAATCTTTTTCTAGTCTGGAACAAATCAAAGCTCATTTTCTTATTTCAGGTGAAAGATTATTTGTGTTCTGAAGGGAATTAGTAAAAAATTTAACTCAAATTTTTGAAATAATTAAAATACATATTTCAGCACCATTTCACAGGTAAAAATGATTCATTTTTGTAGCATGAAATCTAGAGGAAGATCACAGTCCTTCACACTTCTGCTTTTCACACCTGTAGTGAAAGGCTTTTGGCAGGTGCAGTGGTAAAAACTATCCAGTTAGGAAGATAAAACCTTCACTTTGATGGCTGCAGCAGCAGATGCATTTATCTTGTTTTTCTTTTGTCATGACTACAGAGAAATTTAAATACCCTACCCAGCCAATAAACCTGTCAGCCAGTGTCTGAAACACTTGAGATACCTGCCAAGCAGCAAAGCTTATCTGCAGCCTTTGGTCACTTCAGCATTGCTGGCTGGCAGAAAGCTGGGCAGGGCTCAGTGGCTCAGGCTGGCCCAGGTCAGTTCAGCTGCAGCTCTGCAAACTGCAGGAACCCTCCAGGGACTCCTGTGCTGCTTCAGGCTTTGCTGGGGTTGTTTTGCTACAGAGACACAACTGTGCAAAATGGATCTGAACATATTCTTAGCATTCAGAAATCCCTAAATGAGCCTGACAGCTTGTTTGGGATTAAAGTACAGTTTGTTTCACAGAACAAATTTAGATGAAGGCACTTACACAGCTGACTTAAGGCACTCCAGTGGAATGGTGGACTGGAACAAACCCTGCTCAGCTGAGCATGCTGATCATGAAGGTGTGGGTGAGGCTAGGAGTGGGAAAGCCAGAGCAAGGATTTGCTCTCCTTTATGGAATTTGCCTGATGGTGTCAGTGCCATCCTTTGATGCCCTCCCTCCCCTTGTGTTCCCTTAGGTTGTTGCTGACAGCCAAGGCCTTCCTCTCCAAGCTGTTTAAATGAGAATGTCCCTGGCGCAAAGAGTGCTGCTGACATGGCTTTTTACCTTACTCTTCCTGATCATGCTGGTGCTGAAGTTGGATGAGAAAGCACCATGGAACTGGTTCCTCATTTTCATTCCAGTGTGGATCTTTGACACGATCCTTCTCGTGATGTTAATTGTAAAAATGGCCGGGCGCTGCAAGTCCGGCTTCGACCCCCGCAACGGCTCGCAGAACATGAAGAAGAAGGTCTGGTACCTCGTGGCCATGCTGCTGAAACTGGCCTTCTGCCTGGCCCTGTGTGCCAAGCTGCAGCGCTTCACCACCATGAAACTGGCCTACGTGTTCATCCCCCTGTGGGCCCTGCTGCTGGGGGCCATGGTGGAACTGGGGTACAACATCTTCTATGTACGGAGAGACTAGGCCAGGCCAGGAGCTTCCAGGGCAAGGCTGGCACCAAATTACTGGGTTATTGCCATTTTGCCACAAATTTGATCTTCAGACTAGAAAGCCAAATGAGTCAAGCTGGAGGCTTAAGCTAAAGCAGACTGAAGACTGAAAGTAGACATATTTCTTTTTTTTTTTATTTTAAAACTCACATATGCTCTTGTAAATAAAAGTATTTGTTCAACATAAGCTGTTCTAATATAATTACTGATGATATTTGTTACATGGAATAAGATATGGGTTCTTCACGTGCAGGTAGAAGACCTTGTCAAAATAACCACAAATGTTCTACCCAGAGTATCCAGCACATTGAGTAATCCTGGGCAAGAGGACTAACATTTTCTGCTGCTTATGATGTAAGTCAAGAAATAACCAGTTAACAGTCATTTCCATAAGGGGCTAAATTTGCTTCAAAAATCAGTAACAACTGACAGCAGCCAAATAAGAGCAAGAAAAGGAACACCTTTTTTTTGTTGTTGTTGCTTTTGACAGTAAGATTCCATTACCAGTGTAAAAATAAGCAGTTTTCTGAGCTGCTGAAACAGCCCATAACCAGTATGTTAACCCTAGGGAACACAGTTGGTAGCTGAGCTGTGCCAGCAGTCCTGAGATCCAGAGAAGAGGGAGGCAATGGTATTTCTTTTGCAAGTGAGAGATCAGCAATGCTGCAAGAGACTGAAAATACAGGGTGAGTAACCAATACTGCATTTGTACCTGCCTCAAAGCGTTACTTGAACAAGACAGTCTTTAATAGCTGAGGATATGAAAGTTTTGGCGGTGAAGCCTTGGCTTCATGGCAAACTCAGATGTGAGGAAATGACCTTTGTCAGGTAACAAGCGAATAGGACTTGGGGGAAGAACTGGAACTACAAGTGTATTTTGTGGGCTAAAATGCTCTTCCAGGAGACACAGTAACACCAAATTCAAATGTAGCAGTTATCTGGGACATTATTAACATGCATACTGAAAATACTGATCCATTCCTAGAGACAAAAGAATGTCAAGTGAATGAAAAACAGTCTAGGGTAACAGGACATACCTAGACAAGTGTTTCACTAGTAAAATTATAAGTATGTACATTCAGCTGTACTTGTCTGTGGAAAAAAGTCTTCCTGAAGTGTTTGGATTTAGTCTTGCTGTTTCATCACACAGATGTGGGTAAAAACACAGAGGAACCATATTGTGGGAGACTGCTGAAAAGAGCTTTATCTAAGAAAACATGTTCCATTCTAAGGCAGTGAATCTCAATTTAGAATATCAGGTAATGAATCCTCTATAAAATGAATTTAAGTCATATTTATTTCAGAATGGTTGACTGTCCTAGCTTGCTAAAGAGAAGCCAGGAAAAGACAGAGACAAAAGAATTATAAACAGTAGCTGTTGTTAAAAAATGTAAAATATTTATAAATGCTTTATTTTTATTATAACAACTTGTCATCTTTTACTAAGCAAACCCAGGTACCCAGCCCCAAGATATGCACATCAGGTCATTTATGGGGAGTGCCTAGCAGGAACAGTTGTTTGGAGGAGGTGTAGCTATGCATTGGGTACTTCTGAGAAATACTTAACCTTGCTCTGTGTTTGAGACTTTTTGCCCATTCATGTGATGCTCCCATGGAGAACTGACTTCCTTCAGTCTTGAGTGATTTTTCAAGTAAAATTGGCACTTGTGATGAGGGTGAGCTGTGGGGAGGGGGTACATTAATGTCAGAGCAGGCTCTGAGACCTGCTGGCTACAGCTGCTGTGAGAGTGAGCACACACCTGTGGGTGCCACAGGTACCCGTGTGTGGGGTGAGGAGAACAGGGTGCCC